TATATATATATATATATATATATATACATATGTATATATATATATATATATATATATATATATATATATATATATATATATATATATATATATATATATATATATATATATATATTATAGGGTTTGTGAATGCATGTATTTCTAGTGCTATTGTTGTTCTATTATTTAGTATGACCTAATATGTGACAAGTCATATCTGTTCGTGGTTGCCCAGTCGTGTGCGTGGGTCGGTATGTTTATTGGATTACTCGTTGGTGGTTATGCAGGAGACAGATGGGGAAGAAAGATAACAATTGATTTGTCACTAATAGGAGTTACACTTGCCACCTGGGTAATGGTATATCCGAAAGATTTTGCTGTCTATATAGCGGCCCGTACTTTTATTGGCATGACTTCAGGTAAGGTTTTTAAATGAGCTCCACATGTGTATGGAGCTAGAACTCGCCAAAAGTGAAAAAGTATAGCTTCAATGGCCGAAATTGACACCAAGTGCATGCCAGTTCAGTCCTTTCTATTGTTTAACACGAAGCTACAAGGAGATTGCCGAAGTTTGAATTTTGTTTTGACATCAATTTTTAGGATGGTTAAAAATAGTATGCGAACTATTTGCGACCTTCAAATGAACTGGCATCAAACATCTTGTCATCACTTTACTCATGGCAAGATGTTTGATGTGGAGTGACTGAAATTCTTACTCCAGATATATATGTAGCTCAATATACCATATACAGGAGGAATTAAATGCTATAACTTGAAATACATGCATGCAGAAAACCTCGCCACAGAATAAAGACACACAGAAGGTTGACTCAGCCATAAAATCGTAACCGCTGCATGTCACGTCATGTTTCGTCATCAAATTGCTGACGCCATGGGCCTAGCCAGTGCGCTAATGAGAGGCATTCCTCCTGAACATCCGCAACTTTAAATATTATCAGGGGGTGAATGCCTCTCGTAAGCACACTTGCTAGGATGACGAATCACGGTTACGCCTAACCTGCGATCAGGCCTAAAAATAAATAAATAAGCCTGATACAAACCTTAACAAAAGTCCATGCCTTGCAACCATATATCGGTTGTAAATCAGATTGGTCTATGAGACAAAAGATTTTTAATCTGTCACTTGATTGGTTGGTGCTAATTAGATTATACTATTGTTGTTGCTATATTTTATAGTTATCACAATTATAAATAGATTGTTGTTGTCGTTATTATTATTATTATTATTATTATTATTATTTGAGTTTTTGGCCGATCTTGTGAAAATTTCGATGGCATGCTAAGTAGCCTTAAATGTGATGCCAAGTATAGTAAATACATAAAAAAGCAAATCGTGAACATATGCATACGAACATCATATTATGTATTTTGTAAACGAAACAAGGTGTGGGATAACCCAAAATTAATGTTAATATAATCATTCTTAAAATAATAATTGTACAATAAATATATAGTATCAATTCAAGTAGATATTGATAAACTACCTGTAAAGCGAGGTTTATCATTGTAGTTGTATATATCCTAATAATCAATAAATAAAGTTTCCATTATTATTATTATTATTATTATTATTATTATTATTATTATTATTATTATTATTATTATTATTATTATTATTATTATTATTATTATTATTATTATTATTATTATGTCCATACCTCCGAACATATCTAATAGAACTAATCCAAGCAGTGTGGCTTTCTGGAACTGTTCCTGACGAATGGAAGAAAGCTTGCACAATACTAATCCACAAGAAAGGCGATACTAATCTTTCCGAGAACTTTCGACCAATAACCCTTCAATCTGTACCACTGAAAGTATTTACTTCAAGTCTCCGTAATGCTATGTTCGCTTGCCTACTTGGGAATAACTTTATTGAACACAAGATACAAAAAGGATTCACCTCCCATATCTCAGGAACATTTGAACACACAGCACAAATGGCATATATGATCAATCAAGCACGAATTAGACAGCGATCCTTCGTTATAACCCTCTTTCACCTCAAGAATGCTTTCGGTGAAGTACATCACAATCTAATTCAATCGGTTCTCGGCTATCATCAGATACCTGAACATATTCAATTCATGATTAAAAGCCTCTACACAAATTTTAAAACATCAATCATCACATCTGATCTCAACACCCCTTTTCTACAAGTTGGTCGTGGAGTTTTGCAGGGAGATTGTCTTAGTCCATTATTGTTTAACCTTTGTTTCAACACTTTTGTGCAGCACATAAAATCCGAAAAATATCAACAGTTTGGTTTTTCCTATAAACAGTTGAACCTAATCTCTGGTTCCAATTTGGTGATGACGCAGCCGTGATTACCGGTCAAGAATATGAAAATCAGTATTTATTAAACCGATTTGCAATTTGGTGTCAATGGGCTCACATGATTGTTCGAGTGGATAAATGCAGCACATTTGGCATTAAAAAGGCTCTCACAAAATCTGTTCAATACCTCCCTAAACTTCCTATTAACAACGCCGTTATTCCAGCTATTGAACTCGGTAAATCATTCTGCTATTTAGGAAGATATTTTGATTATGAAATGACTAATAATGAACACGAACTGGAACTAATCTCCCTTCTAACAAATCTAATGAAAAAAATAGATCTCAATCCATTACATCCGAAGAACAAGATTCTACTCTACAATCGTTATGTTTTATCGAAACTCTCCTGGCATCTTACTATTACATCTATTTGAAAAACCTGGATTTCGGAAAACTTGGATTCTTTATTTACGCAATATGTTCGCAAATGGCTTGAGGTACCTATTTCTGGAACGCTGAGTAACATCTACCTAAGCAGCAACAAATTTGGTCTTAACATCATCCTCCCATCAACTAACTTTTTACAATGCCAGGTAACAATTCGGAATGCTTTAAAATCATCTCCTAATGAATCAATAATCCACCTGTGGAAGTCAACAACTAATCATACTAATATTCAATACGACCAATACAGTTCGACGAAGCAAGTGATTAAGTCATTTCGTGATGATCAAGTAGATAAATTAACAAACCAACTAACATACCAAGGCTCATTCTTTACCAGTGTACCAAGATTTTCCCTAACCCAAGTAAATACGATCTGGCCAGCCTGTCAGTCCAAATTGCCTAAAAACATTTTCAACTTTACCATTCCCTATATAAACAATTCGCTGCCAACCCGTAGGAACCTTCAAAGATGGGGGCTATCCTCGTCTTCTGAATGCTCGTTCTGCATTAATCCTGAATCTCTATTGCACGTCTTTGCTGGTTGCAGTTCCTACCTCGATCGATTTACTTGGAGACATGACTCAATTCTAAATTTAATTGCTAATAACCTTCCATCAGAATATATCCGGACCATTTATGATGATTTGTGGTCATTTTCTAATCCTTCTGCAATCACTGGTGATGATTATCGGCTTGATTTACTAATTTTGACGAAAGACAATTGTCTGTATATTCTGGAATTACCCGTGGAATTGAGACTAACCTCAGAAATAATGTTAACAGGAAATACTCCAAGTATAAAGATATGATTATGGAACAAAAGAAAAATTATCATGCGGTAAACTTCATCAACCTTTCGATTAGTGCACTTGGTGTGTTTGACAAGGAATCTTCTGGTTTTATAGACATGTTAGAACATTTTAATTTAGATAAAGCTCATGTAAGATACGTTATTAAAAAGATTATTAATATGGCAATAAGGTCAACCTTCTACATTTTTTGTTGGCGAAATAAGAACTGAGTGAATCCGGACTTGATGAAACTTTAAAATTTTTATTGTATAAGTATGTATATAGAGTAATAGAGTAAATTTAATCGTGCGTTATAAAATCATTTAATGGTAATATATCAAGTTGCCAATTGTAAATTACCTTATATAGTGAGATTTGCAGTTGTAAGCTTAGAAAATTAAATAAAGTTATTATTATTATTATTATTATTATTATTATTATTATTATTATTATTATTATTATTATTATTATTATTATTATTATTATTATTATTATTATTATTATTATTATTATTATTATTATTATTATTATTATTATTATTATCTTGTTCTTGTTCTTGTTCTTGTTCGTGTTCGTGTTCGTGTTCGTGTTCGTTGTTATTGTTATTGTTATTGTTATTGTTATTGTTATTGTTATTGTTATTGTTATTGTTATTGTTATTGTTATTGTTATTGTTATTGTTATTGTTATTGTTATTGTTATTGTTAATATTATTAATATTATTAATATTATTATTTTATCTTATTTACACACACACAAGCAACGGTAGCCCTTCAGCAAAATATTGTACCAAAGTTGATTTCCAAGGGGTTGTTGACTAATAAAAAAAAAATAAAAAGGATCAAAATGTATACACACAGTCATAAACATATACTATATACATGATATACACATCCCTTCATATTGTGCAATATTATCTACTACATTACATAATTATGCGTTTATCTGTATCGTAGCCGAGCTCTAAATCTTGGTAATGATATACCACTACTAGTCTAGAACCTGTATATGAGTTTGTATGCGTTTCATTTAGGACAGGTAATCTCAACTGTTTTTGGGTAAAATGACCATGGCGGTCAAGATTCAAGATTCATTTTATTCACACTTTGTTACATAATTGGAGTAGAATTGATATATAGAAGAAAGCTTTACAGTATAATAGGAATCGAATGACATAATAGTTTACATTGGAAGTGTGCGGTGGCTATAGTAGCTTTCGAGGTAGCCACCGCTAACGGAATATGTGCCAAAACCTGAATCCGGGACGAAAGTCCTGAAAATGACCCCGCCCTAAAACGGCAGTGTCGACATACTCTAACTTCCGAAAAGGAAAAGCAATAGCCTTTCTGAAGTGTTTATAGTGTTCAGAAGGGTTGGTTTTAGGGGTGGTCATTAGAATGAAAAATTTGTCTAAGTATAATACTTTACAAGAAAATGACCCAGGTAAATTGCTAATTATGCACAAAATAACTGATATGCCTGGCAGAATTTAAATTTTCTTATTTCCTAAAAAAATATCATGGGGTGAAAAACTATGCTCAATTTAAAGATGATGTCCACTCCGTTCTGCGCATCGGTTCTGCTCATAACAAAGGGGGACCACAGATATAAACATTGCCCAAATTTTGCATCTTTCGAACTTTTTGAATTGAAACGTAGGGCTTATATTCATTTACAAGCATGGCAAACCAAAAAGTGTTAGATATTCTGTTAGTATATTGTTGTGCCAGATTAAGCGAGATCGTGTCGAAAAAAACCCGCCACAGCAAAGTAAAACAACTTCGTACAAACACGCTTTATTTACTAAAGAAATCACACCAAATCGTATTAAAATTGTCCTTTTATACACACTGTCAATTTACATAACCTAATTAGTTTTCACGCCTATATAGTTTTATTGTTCTATTTACAAATTTACATAGTAACACACAATACACACATAACACACATAATAGTCATTTGTCCCAATTGTTCTCTGACCGGCACTACATTGCCCTCTCCCCAGTTCATCGGTCTCCGTTGAACAATTTCAACCAAAAATCTTACGGTGTATATCTTTGTGGTTGTTTCCTAGTTCGTATACCGCGACGCAACGATTCAACCGTGGTCCTACTGTTTGTGTTTTTACCATTACTCTCTTTCTTTGATGTTGTCCTCACCCCAGGTAAAGTCGACTTGCCGATATCTAAGTTCCTCGAAGTTCCGGAACCATTGCTTCCTTTCTCTGCGAACCAACCAAAATACTCTCCACCTGTGTAAGGTTTCAGTCGATTGATGTGCACGACTTTGGGCTTTGCCTGGGGCCCCTTCTTTATTCGAACGACAACGTCATTTATTTGCTTCACCACAACGTAAGGGCCCTCCCAATTTCTGCTCAACTTTGGTGATCTTCCCTTTTTCCGTTGTGGGTTATGAAGCCAAACACCCGTGCCAACTTCGTATTTCACTGCCATAGCCTTCACGTCATAATGTTGCTTCATCGCACCAGAACTGATTTTTAAGTTATCTCTTGCAAACATATGCACTTCGTCCATCTTTTCTTGTAACTTCTGCGCGTACATCGGGCTGCTTCGTGGCATCTCACCACCTTCCGGTCGTCCTGCCCAAACATCAATAGGCAATTTCATCTCTCTACCAAGCATCATCCGGGATGGACTAATCTTCGTTGCTACGTGTTCTGCACTACGATATGCCATTAACAACAGAGGAATATGCATGTCCCAGTCGGTTTGATGAGCATTCACAAACATCGCCAATCCATCTTCTATTGTCTTGTTAAAACGTTCCACCATTCCGTCCGACTGAGGATGGTAAGGAGTTGTTCTCGTTTTATTAATTCCAAGTAACCGACAAACTTCTCGAAAAGTTTCAGATTCGAAATTCCTCCCTTGATCAGAATGTAACTCCATAGGGATCCCAAACCGAGTGAAGAACTGGTTGACCAACACTTCTGCGACTGTAACTGCTTGTTGATCTGGAAGAGCAAAGGCTTCCGGCCACTTCGTGAAGTAATCTTGAGCAATGAGTATATATTGGTTTCCCGAATCTGTTTTTGGAAGCGGTCCCAACACGTCGATAGCTATCCTCTCCATCGGCGAACCAACGGTGTACAATTTCAACGGAGCTTTGGCTCTTCTAGGATATCCTTTACGCGACACACATTTCTCACATTTTCTGCACCAGTTCTCCACTGACCATCTTAGGTTTATCCAATAGAAACGTTGTCGAACGCGAGCTAACGTTTTCTTCACGCCGAAGTGTCCCGCAGTTGGAGAGTCATGTAGATTTCGCAAAACATCATCTTGAATCGCCTTTGGTGTTAAATAGAGATACTTCACTTCACGTCCACTTGCATCCTCCCAACGTCGATAAAGGATTCCATCCACCACATCAATTGATGCCCACTGCGCCCAATATGATTTTGTAACTGGACTCATAGCCGAAATGTCTTTCCATTCTGGTCTTCCGTTAATCTTCCATTCCATCACATGTCTAATATCTGGATCTTCCACTTGCTTCGTCCTGAGCTCTTCCTTTGTCCAAATTTGAAACAACAGTTCGTCTTGGTTTATGGTCGCCCCTCTCGAAATTCCATTTCCGCGCATATCCCTTTCTTCTTCCTCACTTATCGCTTCGTTTTCATTATCTTTATCTTCTAAAGCCGAACAGAACTTGCATGCTGACTCATAACATGGTCGTCGTGACAAAGCATCTGCATTGACATGACTTCTTCCTGCACGATGCACGATCTCAAAGTCATATTCTTGTAACTTCTGCAACCAACGAGCAATCTGTCCTTCTGGCTGCCTGAAATTGAACAACCACTTTAATGAAGCATGATCAGTTCTCACCACGAATCGTTGACCATAGAGATAATAATGAAACTTTTCTGTTGCTTTGACCACTGCCAGTAACTCTTTTCGCGTCACACAGTAATTTTGTTCTCTTCTGCTCAGACTTCGACTAAAGTACGCGACAACTCTTTCTATTCCGTTTTGTTCTTGAGATAAGACAGCGCCAATTCCTCTCTCGCTCGCATCCGTGTCTATCGTAAATCTCCCTGACGCAATTGGGTAGGCCAACACTGGGGCTGCCGTTAAAAGACGCTTCAATTCTCCAAACGCTTCCTCACATTGTTCAGACCAATCAAACACAGTTTCTTTCTCGGTGAGTTTATGCAATGGGCTTGCAATGTCGGCAAATGACTTAATGAACTTGCGATAGTACGAGCAAAGTCCTAGAAATCCTCTTAAATCTCGCTTGTTCGTAGGTCTTGGCCACGTAGTCACAGCTTCAACTTTGCTTGTTTCCGTTGAAATTCCTTCTTGGGTCACAATATGTCCCAGATAGAGCACTTTCTGTCTGAACAGCTCGCACTTCTTCGGATTCAGTTTGAGGTTGGCTGCTCGAAAACGACCAAAGACTTCGCGTAGATTAAGTATCTCTTCTTCGAACGTCTTTCCATGTACCAAGATGTCGTCTAAGTAGAGAAGACACACGCTCCAAGGCAGACCAGCCAAAACTAACTCCATCAACCTTTCGAATGTAGCGGGGGCGTTGCATAACCCAAATGGCATAACGGTGAACTGCCACAACCCGTAGCCTGTCGAGAACGCCGTTTTTTCTTTGTCACATTGTTCCAAGTCCACCTGCCAATAACCACTCTTCATGTCCAGAGTTGAAAACCACTTCGAGCCAGCTAACGCGTCAAGTGTCGTATCGATTCGAGGGAGCGGGTAGGAATCTTTCTTCGTCACATCATTCAACTTTCTGTAATCAACGCAGAACCTGTTTGTGCCGTCCTTCTTCTTCACCAAGACAATAGGCGCTGTCCAGGGGCTGCTTGAAGGTTCGATAATTCCTTGCTCATGCATTCCTTTAATCGCCTCTTGTGCAATGTCCACCTTCGCCAGTGGTAGACGCCGCGGTTGTTGTTTGATCGGTTTTTGGTTACCAGTGTCAATCTTGTGTGAAGTTAAAGATGTTCTCCCTATGTCACCTAAACTTTCTGAAAACACATCTTTAAATTCCACCAGCAACGAATACAACTGACTCTTTTGTGAATCGTCCAAACCTCCGGAACTACGGTCATAAAGCTTCTTTACCACTTCAGGTAACTCATCACTCGCTTCACGACTTCCAGGCTCAGTCTTCCCCACCACGGTCACACTGTCGATGATTTCACAACTAGCAACATCTGTACCTTCACGGACTATTCGTTCATCATCCGACATGTTTAACACTCTTACAGCAAATATGGGCTTACGAATATCTACAACCGTCCTTGCTACGAGAATATCACTGGACAATCCTGGTTCCTTGCTAGGGTTGATTTCTCCCCAACCTTCTTCAGAACTACCATCACCGTCCAGCATTCCTGGAATTATCGCTTCGCTCTTCGGTGGAACCAACCATGTTTCAGCAACCATCACTCTGCGACAAACTGATTTCTTTGTGGCTGTCATCCCCTTGAATCGAATTTCTTCCGGGCCAATACGCAAACAGGATTCTTGTACATCAACAACACAGTCATTCGAAATCAGAAAGTCTAGTCCCAAAATACACTCGTTCTCGACATCTGCAATCCATACATCATGTACGACTTTCAAATTTCCAACTTGAAAAGCGAGCTTACCACGACTTTGTAATGGTGTTGTTTCACCGGTTACTGTCCGTAATAAACTGTCTACTGGCTGTACATCAATGTCTACGTCTTTCGAAACTCGCCCCAATACGTCCGGTCTCAAAATTGTAATGTTAGATCCCGTATCTATCACCATGTCACAATTCACACCTTCGATACTGCCAGATATGATCAAACTGTCCGCTATTCCTTGCATCATTCCTGTTTTTAAGATTTTGGTTGGAGCATTCGGTTGAGCTGGCACTCGCCCCGTAGGACCAGCTACTTCCCGTTTCCCTGATCATCCGATTCTTCGTCATCATTGCGTGATTTTGGACAGTTTCTTCTAATATGATTCAAATCACCACAATTCCAGCAACCAGGCTCTTTCGGCGACCTTCGTTGTACCTTTACCGCTGCCAAAACACCGTCAAGACAAAGCTTCATCGACCTTTCCAGACGTTCGAGTATCTTCGTCATCTCCAACTTTCCCTCCTCGAGTTGGTTGTACGTTCTTTGCTCCTTCTGCTCTGTACCACTTGGTCTAGCTGCACGAAGTAACTCTGTTTCTCGTGACACTTTGAGACGCTGTCGAGCAGCTATCTGAAACGACTCCAACTCAAGACCAGCTTCCAAGGCTTTTCGCAGTGACTTGGGTCTTTCTTGCTTAATACGCAATCGGGTATCTTCATCAGTCAACGCATCAACGAACTGGTCCCGCGCGAGTACATCACGTAGCGTAGGAGGGGCGTCTGGATAAGCGAGTCGACATAACCGTTCGATATCCTCGGCCATTTCAGGCAATGACTCATCTTTCTGCTTGATGCGGTTTTTGAATTTCATTCGTGATAGTTCCGTTTGATGACTTGTTCCAAATCGATTCTTCAACGCCACCACTAAAACATCGAGATTCTGACGTTCTTCAGGAGCCAAGTTACCCAGCACCGCCAAAGCAGGTCCCTTTAAACTTGTAGCAAGATAGGCTGCTTTTTGAAAATCATTCCACTTGTTTAATTGCGCCACTATCTCAAACTGCGCGTAGTAGGATTCCCATAATGTTGTGCCATCGAAGGTCGTTGGTTTCTGTAAAAGCTTGTTGGGTGCCTCAGCATCTCTGACGCGAACATTCGTCGAGGTAACACAACCACTATCCTCGGGTTTTAACGTGGATGGGGTATATCGCCTTCTGGGTGATGGAAAAACGGGAGTCGCAATTTTGTTGGCACGAATGTTCTCGATACCTTGCGGAGAATTTTTCACATCCCGATTTAGCATTTCTAAATTTTGTTTCCTCGTTTCTTTCAAGTTAATTTCGGCTAAAAGTTCTTCGAGAACGCTTTCTTTTAACTTCGGCACGAGTTCCTTTTGGATTGTGTCTATGCCCTCGCCGAACCTGTCTACGCGATTCTCCACTACGTCAAGCCTTGCTTCGAAACATTCAACATTCACAGCCATAGTGTTTCGTTGACTTTCACCAGACTTTTCGACTTCACCACTCACGTACGCAAGGTCTGTCTCGACTCTGTCTAGTCTCCTTTCTAGCCGGTCTTGTCGCTTGCTAATTCCTTCCATTTTCCCGTCAATATCACCAATCAAACGCTGTATTTCGTTCATTTGCTTTGTTTGGGCCACTTTGTGCTCCATTATAAGCTCAGTTTGCTGCTTCATCATCGAAAATAACTCAACAAAATTCTCATCACTGCCCGTGATACGTGTATTTTCTTCTCCGCGGTCATCCATGTCGTCTTCGTTGGTTTCCTCACTGTTTAATCTCGCTGCCGATCTCGTTGTCATTGGCATACCTTCTCTAAAGGCATGAAATATCCCACCGCTGCCACCAATGTTGTGCCAGATTAAGCGAGATCGTGTCGAAAAAAACCCGCCACAGCAAAGTAAAACAACTTCGTACAAACACGCTTTATTTACTAAAGAAATCACACCAAATCGTATTAAAATTGTCCTTTTATTTACAAATTTACATAGTAACACACAATACACACATAACACACATAATAGTCATTTGTCCCAATTGTTCTCTGACCGGCACTACAATACTATTACCCATACTAATAAGACAAAATAAGCATGGCTGTTACTAGACGCGATAATTGGGGGGGGGGGGTTATTATATTCATATATTTCGAAAGAAAACGGTGGGGCAGAACATGAACTATAATAATAATAATAGTTTTATTGATCCATCTTTAGTGCAAAAATACAATGGATTTACAGTAAAAATCTAAGTAGTAGTCTAGAAGTTATATGTACAGATAAAAATTGTAGGAATAGTTATAAAAATATTGTCTATTATAATGAGTTTGTTCTGGGACTGAACGATAGTTCATGCCTTTTAGTGTATGAGAAAATTCCGGGAAGAGTTTTTGGTTTTCTTAGGTCATACTTGTTCGTCACCATGTCTGGTATGTACTTCCTGCATGGGTGTGTCTCGTCATTAATGATTTTCTCGTACTCGCGAATTGAAAGTTTATCCCGACGTTGTTCTAGAGATTGAAGAAAATCAGTAGGTAGACCCATAATTTTCAGGCTTCTAGTCTGCATGGATACTCTCCAGTTCGTCAGTAAGGTATTGTGGCAGGCCCTCCCAAATTGGGGCCGCATATTCCAAAACCGGTCTTAATTTGGATTTATAGCACGTCAAACCCACATTAGTTGGTAGATCTGCTCGACGACACTCCCGTAGGTAGAATAAGCGTTTGTTTGCCCTCCTTGCAATTTCGTCAATGTGGGTGTTCCATTTAAGGGTATTGTCAATCCAAAGACCTAGAAACTTGAATGGCTTTACTCTTTCTATTGTATCATCGCCAATTTTAAGATGTGGTGGTTCCGGAATTGCAGCTTTAAAGCAGATCCACATGTCTTTCGTCTTTTTCGAGTTAAGTTTCATCTTGTTTCTATGTGCCCAGTCGTTTATTGCATCGAGCAACTCTTGCATGTTGCTAGTAGAACCGTATGGTATCACTTCATCTTGAGTGCAGTCATCTGCGTATTTGTGCGTATTGATGTCCAGATAATTGGGAATGCAGTCTTCGAGGTCATCCACATGAACATTAAACAATGTTGGTGATATAACAGATCCCTGGGGGACTCCGGAAGGGCAAGGCCTTATAGATGACAGAGCACCTTGTAATTTTGCGAGTTCGTGTATTAGCCTGCGTAGCAGGCGGTATATAGAAGATAGAAATACCGCCTGCCCAGAAACTACACATTCTGTGTTCCGCCCAACGAACGCATGGTCTCGCCCATCTTAATGTATTTATTTTAATTATTTGTCAAACTCACGTACTTGCACCAGTGCAAATATACGGCTTTGACGTTTCATATCTTCGGTTTTTTCAATGCTATGAAGACAAAAATACCACATTCGATTCAGTGTAACAATATGTCCTCATTCATAGCGATAGTTTTAGTCGATGTGAACATCATAGCGATTTATGAGCTTTGAAAATCAAGCGAGTTCGTGTATTATCAAATTACGTAATTATCTGAACAAAAATATAGATTCGCCATACCTTTCGCCGAACATAACTTCGGCCCCTTCGGACGTAACTTTGTAATAGTCTTGTTCCAATCGCTATCAAAAACACTACTTAGAGTGTTATTTACGAGTCTGTTTCTTCAAATCTGCACTTTTATCACGGTATCACATATATCAAGCAACAAATGTTGGATTGCTATTCGTTGTTCATTCTTCAAGACGAAGCGATTTCCGATTCCAGATAAAGATTAACGAATTCAACGCTTAATTCTCAATTAATACATTCGTCACACCCGTCCACAAAAAAGATCTTAAAGAACCGGCGGAACATTACAGACCAATATTGTTGCTGCCCATCGTTGGCAAAGTACTAGAGCGTTGCGTGTGCATCAGACTATATAATCATGTCAGGCACCTCGTCACAAAAGCACAACATGGTTTCCTTAGACGGCGATCTTGCGTTAGTCAACTACTATCGGTACTACACGCCATCGGGCAATCCCTTGACAAAAACGTTCAAACTGACGTTATCTACCTCGACTTTGCGAAAGCTTTTGACTCTGTCGATCACCAAATTCTCCTCCACAAGCTTGCGTCATACGGTGTGTCAGGTCATTTATATGAATGGTTCGCGGACTATCTCAGTGGTCGTCGTCAAAGGGTTGTGATTGATGGAGCTACATCTAATTGGGTGCCAGTTACATCTGGAGTGCCGCAAGCCAGTCTCCTGGGTCCTATTCTGTTTGTGATATTCATAAACGATCTTCCCGACATATTACCTGACGAGACTTTGGCAGCTTTGTATGCAGACGACACCAAACTGTACAAGTCCATCACATCAGTAGGTGACTGTGAAAGTTTGCAACAAGCTTTAACAGACCTTGACTGCTGGAGCCGTGACAACAACCTCAATTTTAACGAGTCGAAGTGTAAGGTGTTGACAATTACAAGGGAAAAAAACCCCGCTGACGTACGCATATCACATGG